TTTCTCTGCTGGCTTGGGAGCACCTTGGGATTCCCCCGGAGGATCTGGCCCAAGTGGCTGGTACAAATTGAAGAGTCTGCCTCTATTGTTTGGAAGCTGATAGCAGACCATGTTAGACCAGCAGATTGAGAAGTTATGGAGTTATTTGTAACGACAAGGCCAAATGTTCAGCCTTCTAGATAAAATCCTAAATCAGAGAACCATAAACATGTCTTATCTGTTTTGCTGCCGCTCCACAACCTTTAACTTAGTTAGTTTTAGTTTGAGCTTAGACTGCTAATTTAAAAAAAAAGCAGCTTGCATGGAGTATGGAAGTACTGTATATTGGCCCAAAGAAACATTTCAAATGACGCCAATACTTTGGTCAAAAGTTACACAATGATGCTTAAAAACTGAATACCATAAACAGTCTGTTTTTAAATGATCAAAAATGTGTTTAATATTTTGAACCAACTTATCCAAATACATTAAAGGAATAGTACACCCAAAACATGATTAGCCTTCATTTTCTACTCACCCCCATGCTGAACAAAACTCTGGAGTACTTTTTTGATATCTCAAATGCATCTGGAGATCTGGGAGGCTTCTTGCTGTCTGCTGACATTCAAATAATGGAGGTCTATGGCGCCCGAGACAGAAAGGTCCATAAAAGTCCACAAAAACGTGTCAATATTCCTCCATACTGCTCGTCCAATGTAATCCAAGTGTCCTGAGTGGGTAGCGTCCATAATTTACTCGAAACGAAGTCATTTAGAACGTTTTAGAGCATAAACAGTAGTGTATAGGATTTCCTAATAGCGCCCCCATGCGCGCTCACGATTCTACGGAAGCCGGCAGACCAAACCAGCGCATTCAGCTCGGCAAAGAACTCATGCTCTTCCTCAACACTGAAGTCCTCAGACATTTTTCTTTCGTTGTTTCTTTCTTTGCACAGGTAAACAGCACATTTCTTCTTCTACGCTTGCATTAACGGCAGAGCAGACGCTGAATGCGCACTTTCTTCCGGTTTGGTCTGCCGGCTTCCGTAGAATCGTGAGCGCGCATGGGGGCGCTATTAGGAAATCCTATACACTACTGTTTAGGCTCTAAAACGTTCTAAATGACTTCGTTTCGAGTAAATTCTGGATGCTACCCACTCAGGACACTTGGATTACATTGGACGAGCAGTATGGAGGAATATTGACACGTTTTTGTGGACTTTTATGGACCTTTCTGTCTCGGTCACCATAGACCTCCATTATTTGAATGTCAGCAGACAGCAAGAAGCCTCCCAGATCTCCAGATGCATTTGAGATATCAAAAAAGTACTCCAGAGTGTTGTTCAGCATGGGGGTGAGTAGAAAATGAAGGCTAATCATGTTTTGGGTGTACTATTCCTTTAATAGAGATATATGTACAGAATATGTCAATGGGCTTACCTATCCTGGCACATTTCCAGAAAATTCCTAGTAGTCTAAAAGAAACAAGAAAAATATCATTAACAGAAAAACAAACATTTCTGAACCTTACTTTAATATGGATGAGTTTGCTTTGAAACAAACCCCAGAAATCTTTAGAACAAGTAAAAGTAAATATAACCCCAAAACAATAAATTAATCAAAATTGCATTAACCTAAACAGGAAATATTGTATTTAACTTTTTTATTCTTCTATCCAAATCGATTTGGAAGTTGCTCATTTATAAATCACACCAATTTCGCTTAATGAAAAATAAAAAATAATTAAATCCCAGCTCGACACAAACCTCGAAGTTGGTGTACAAGGTTTACCACGATTTAACAATAAATGGTCCATAAAAAGCATCTGTCAATGGGCATTTAAATGAGCTAGCTGATCATTGTTTTTTAATGATTGCCATGGCAACCGCAGCAAAGAGTGATGAAAAAAAGGGTATTTAATGTATGTATTGGTGGGGGAGAGAGAGAGTTGGATAAATATTTAGGAGGTACAGTAGTGAATGACCATGAAAAGGAAGCACTATGAATTGAAGGAGTCTGATGTAGTGACTGCTTATACTAACAATGCCATCCAAGAAAAGAAGACAGTATTTTGTGTTGGATTTGTTATATTTCAGCTTTATGGAGAAATTCAAAGAGTAATTGTACTAAAAGTGACTTCAGGCAGAGTTAAAATATGTTTTTAGATTATGTTAAACACCTGAAGGGGAGTTGCTGGTAAGTTCCAGCTCCCAAGTGTCCCAGAATGGCTATCAGCTGTAATAAAGAAAATATTAAAACTCAACCAAGAGTCTTGATTGACAGAGCTCTATAGTATCTATTAAAATGTTATATGAATGGAAAGAAGGAATCTTAAAGCTATGTATTACAAGAGGAATACCTTTCCCATTAAACCACCATTACCCCTAGCTAGCTCTATTGAACAAATATATACTCGCACAATATTTCTATGTGAAAATAATAAAAAGATTCAGAGCTTCTCCATGACTCAGAGGGTAGCATTAAATCTACAATTTGTTTTGCACATCTAATTAATCTCTACATCTGCTGCTCTTACCGCCATTTATAGCAGTGCTTTTCAACCCTGGTCCTCAAGATATGCTGCCCTGAATGTTTCTCTGCCGATTTCCACTAGTGGCTGATTAACTGCATTCACCTAAAATCAGGCGAATGAATACAGAACAGTCTGCTTGAATTAACCAGGGTCGAAAAACACTGGTCTAGAGAAATTATGTGCGAGTCAGTGAATGGGTTTAGCCATGGCTGTTAATGGACTGTACCAGGTTTATTGGCTAAGTGAACTTTAAAAGTTTGAACATCAATCAAAGGAAAGGATTTTAATGGTTAAAATATCTTATTCTACCAGAAATACTAATAAAAAATGATATACCTTAAAACAGTGTGCTAATTATGCAGTTTGATAAAATCACGGTTGAGTTAAAAAGCAGAATACATTTTTCTCCGCTTTACATCATATATATATATATATATATATATATATATATATATATATATATATATATATATATGAAAATAAATAAAATATATATATTTCATTTTTAAATCTGTGTAAGAACATACCCAGTTTTATTCTTGTCCAAAAGGCTGGGAGCCAGCGCTCTGATATAGGCACAGGTACAAATCAGAAGGAGAATCACCGTTAGCAGTGACTGGAAGTTGAAAATGGCCGACTGCAAAAAAACAAAAAAAAGTAGAAAAGAGATATGCATCAAAAACTGGAAATGGTCTTTTTTATGCATCGACAAACAGCAAGAACTTTAGTGCTAGCATTTTGCATCAATGGAAATAATCACGTATTGCCCTCATTTAAAGAAGAATTCTAAACTATCCTGTTAAATGAGAAAGCTGCAAAACATGATTTTATTTATGCCTGATGCTAACATTAATACCACTGAATTAAAAGAAGTAATCAGTTAATACAGGGGATTATTTTTTGTACTAAACACTTTGATCATGGGGCACAATTGCCAAACAATTTTCAATAAGCTTCTGCCATGTCAAAATATTTATTTCGACTCAGTGTTGCATTAAATTTTCACCAAAATCTTGCATTGGTGAATGTAGAGTCTGACTGCTGCATAAAGCCTTCTTCATGTGTGAAATGACGCTCCCTCAACCCCTCTTCCCTAATTTGAGCCCGATTAACCCCATATTCAGGTTTTCAGCTGACCTGATTTTACTGTCAAAATCTCATGAAATTTCATCGTTCTGTTACAAACTCTCGTGATATTTAACAAATTCTTGTGAGATTTTGTTAGTAAAATAGATCGATACCGCGTCAATATATCAACATATAAAAATATGGCAAAATTTCGTGAATTTTCTTGTTTTTTTTTTGTTTTTTTTATCTTAGCTGGCTAAATGCTGAATCACCACAGGTAAATCCAATAAAAATAATTATTTAGTGCATTGTTAAATTTAGTTTGAGTACCGTTACACAAACAAATAAAAAGCTTAGCTTATTTGATAGGTGCACATGATGTGCTGGCTACAACAAAGTCTGTTATATTAAACTGGAAATACTTGCAATCTTTATTCTAGGCTACAAGTATAATGCTTTATTTTTGAAAAGAAAAAAATGTGAATTGTGAAAAATGTCACATTTAGTATAAATTAATGTGACAACTTAAATGAATAACATTTGGTGGGGATTTTTAATCTTTAAAATGAGTACATCACTTAAAGATCCTTATTGAATATTTTATAGCAATACCACTTTCTATTAAACGTTTTTTTTTCCTGACATCTTAGTCACAAGTTTTAATTTTAACCACTCAAATTATTTACTTTTTGCAACCAACACGTTTAGCTGGTATAACACTTCTTTATTAAGATTTAAAACATGTATGGTGTTAAGATAGGGCATTAATAAGAAAGTTAAATACATTTATTGTATCCTTATTGCCATTACAATATATATATTATCTTTCAATTTACTTATTATAATAATGGTAATGAATTCAAACAGTAAAGCTCCTGGGCTGATCCAACTAAAACTAATATCTGGCTAATATGCAGGGAAATAGGTGTGTTTGGTTCCTAACAGACCGCCCTGCTGTTAAACCAGATGCACCTAGAGGAGCTATGTATATTAAGGGTCCAGCTACGTGGCACACTTTGAAAACATTTGCTTTCGACATACTTAACTCCAACACAGTTATGTGTTATTAAGCAAATTCCTGGCGATACAAAACCCCGCTTGCATGACACAAAGTTCCGTTCGCAATGTGTCCGTTTTCGAAAACATCAAAACGCAGTTAGCTAAACTTTTAGCCTATCTTAGCTAGCCAGTTTGTTCAGCTAACATATGCTAAATCTGAGTAAACCTGCCAGCAGAAAGTCACGCAGCCTCCAATGGCATATACCACAAGAAGACTGTCTCTATCAAATATACAAATTCGATATATAGCATAAATGTAGCTGAGCAAAATAAAACAAACTTACCATTATTGATAGCAATCAAAGCCACATCACACTTCCTGTCCTTTGGAATTAACGTAACGTCGTTGGTTAACACGTACCATACGTAATGACGTACTGAGACGCGCTGAGGCTGTTTGCTGATTGGTTAAAAACAATTCGACAGACGACAAGCCGTTGAAGGGGGAAACCGAGCTGCCAATGTGAGTGCAAAGATCATCTACAGTTTTATTTTATCTTACAGCAGTTGCACCCCTCAACAATTAACTTGTACCCTTGAGTTTTTGTTCTTTGACTTTTTTCTGAGCTGGGGTTCATTTCCTGTCCTCTGTTTATAATACATGAGGGTTTTTTTGGTCAAAGAGAAGAACACCAGAAAAGTGCAGCAGAAACTTTGAATCTTGTTATTGCTTTTCCTGCACCATGAAGTACTAATAATGTACTGTGTGCTTTCTGTCGTGCACTGATAAATCCCGTGATAAAGTAGAAGTAGAACCTTGAAGTTTTTTTTTTTTTTTACATTATGAGTACTTTTCAGTCTTAAAAGATAAAAAAGTCATGCAGTTCTGTTTTGCATGATAGCCCATCACAACATAGAGCATTATGATGAAGCAGAAGTTGATATGATGCATAGTTTTGATTTATTATTAAAATCTACCACGTGTGCAACACATGCACATTTCAGTGCATTTGCAATTGCAGGTCTTTTTATGTATTTCTAGGCACACATTGGACATTCAGGGGCAGAATCTAAGTCTTTCTACATAATGTACAATGGATTTAGGTCTGGATTTATTTAACTGAACCATTCTAACCTTCAAATCTGGTTTAATCTGGAAAAAAAAAATCTGTCCTAGTCTTGCAGTTTCTTTTTCTGTCTTGTTTTTTTCTAGGATTACCCTATGTTTAGTCCCTTCATTATTCCCTTAATCATGCCTGCTATAGGACAACAAATTAATTTAATTGATACAGCATTAATCCCTAAATATTGTCTTAACTATTGTCATACAAATTTCCACAAAGGATTAAGATGTTGTAAATTATGATGACAAAGTTAGGAAGGATCTCCTGTAGTGATCAGGATAATTTTTTTTAATTATTATTATTCATTTCAGGCAATTACATACATTGGAACACACAAGTGAATGCTAGTTAGTCAATTTAAACTTGGGAGTCATAATATAAGTAACAACAAAAACAAAAAACAAGGTCTGATAGGGAGTGGGATAAAAAAAAAAGTTGTTAAAATTCCATCCAAGTGCTCATTCATGGTAAAAAACAAAAACAAAAACAAAAAACAAACATGGTAATGGATAGGTACCATCAATGATAAAAGAACTACAAGCACACATCAATAGACACTAATGTACATTTAAGACCCTCTCTGAAAACACTGTGACCAAATTGACTGAATAGGATTTTACATCTTTGAATATTTTTGCATTGTATATGTTGTGAACTCAGACTGTTCCAGAATTTAACTCCACATACAGAGAAAAAAAAACTTTTCAGAGTTGTTCGAACTTTAGAAAAAGTCTCAGTCTGAAGATGCTGTCGTGGTATGACAACGTTTGTTATGGTTGTTTTTAATGTTTTTTATTTTTTGGAGAATCCTTCTTTGCACAACAAAAATGAAAAATCCATTTATATGTACATTATGTTTTAATACAATGCAGTTATTTAGTTGTAATGTAATGAAATGTAAAAAGTGCAAAAGGTGTGAATACTTTAACAAGCCTGTGTGTGTGACCTGAGTTTATTGTTCATTTGGTCATCTATGTATACTTTCATTTAACATGTGAACCGTTTGTTAACTGCACAGTTTTTCATTCTGTCCAACTAAACTAGACTTAACTAAAAGAAAAAATCGAATTATTAAAGTTTTACTATTGAGTTAGCCAAAACAAAATTTTGAGGATGTTGTATGTTTAAAATGTATAGTTCTTCCCCATAAATCTAGTTATTTCTTATAGGAACTAGTATCCATCAGCTTAAGTTTCAAATCCATTTATTTACACTTTAATATCATTCAATTAAAACTACATTAGCCATGATATTCTGCTCCGGGAAAAAGAAAGGTTTCCGTGCTATTGTCTCATGATGACGTAAAGATAGATTTTTGCGGTCGACTTTTCGCTCAACATTTTCACAATAAAGTCTCCTCCCTTAAACAAGCCACACACCATCTTGATTACATTTAAGATGTGTTTTGTAAATCCCATTTGACATTTCCTTCCCAGACACTCCTAGAGTGCACTTCACGCGCAAGAAACTCTGTCACTCTGTAAACCACACATAAATAATGTTTTAGATATTTCACTGTAGGGATTACAGTGTAAACAGGCTCACATTCCTTATAAAGTGATTCCGTTTTATAGTTTACAGCACACTGACTGCTGTTCGTCATAGCATTGTTGTCATATCAAGGTCCAAAGCAGTCATAGTATATGTAGTGCATGCTTTAGACCTATATGTGTTTGTATACTGCAGTTTTATCACACAGTATAACCTCTCTTTCCTAATGGTAACTGGTAATGCATGCAGCTGTCTTGGAAACACATACATCAAAGCAGTTGTGACTGACATTGCTTCGTAGGGGCTGAGAGGTACTTAAAGTCTTGCTGATCTTAGATGCTGGAAGTTACGTGCTAAGTAGTGAAGTAGCATTTTTTTCTACATTTAGGATCAATTTGTTGCCCATTTTGCTCCAACATCACTCCATTTTGTAACTATAAACAAGCCTGTTAGTACCAGTGTACTTCACCATTCCAGAGCAGTTTATATAGTCCTTTTTTTCTTGTCTGTCTTTCTGTATGATAGAAACAAAGTCCATATTGTTCTGAGGGATCACATTGCTTTACCTGGCAGTGCCTCCACTACACCAACCTCCTACTAGATGAAGGAGCTTTCCCTCCTCACTCTGGCTGAGCCCAGCCTCTGTAGCCAGGGAGGTAATTTTAGCCATTGTTGGTTGTTCTAGTCTAAAACATTGGCCGTACAATAAATAAATATATATATATATATATATATATATATATATATATATATATATATATATATATATATATATATATATATATATACATATATATATATATATATATATATATATGGGTAAATCCTGAGCTTGTTTATCAAAAACCTGAGGCATCGCCAATATTAATTCAGATTATACTATGTATAGTCCAAGTACACAGCACTCCATCTAGTGTCACCCATTAACAAAACACCTACATACTTTAAGTCTTCTGCTTGAGGCAATCTTAAAAGAGAGCAGTTCCCTCTTTTGAGGTTACATTAAATATGTTGAAAAACAGTCAGCAAATGTAAAACTGTGTCAATGATTAAAAATTTGTTTTAGACCCTTGATCAATCCAATATAAAATTGACTCCCAGCAAGTAAATGGTATTCACTGGAAACCTTTATTTTTTGTAAACGATTTGTAAATTAAAGATGACTTGAAATAATCTGCTGACAATATGGATGCAGAAGTCTCCCCTGGGGGGTTATAAACCAATACATGATTGGTATGAAACAGCCTTTTGTTAAGCCAATCATACACTGCGATATTTTCAATCATTGCATGCAGGGACAGATCAACTGTACGATGAAACTGCAGGGTTTAAAAGCTCACAGCTCAGGATGCACGTTCTCACACTGTGCTGTTAGGATTCAGACTGAGGACCCAGATACAACCAGAACACAATGGGAAAATCCTTTAAAAGATTTATTAAAGAAACTCTGCAGATAATTCAGGATCAGGGGGGCCAGAGCCTCTGGAGGGTAGAGAACAGGTTAGTGGCTGAGATGGATGATTAAAAGTTCAGACTGCTAAGCCACTAACCTTCTTTAATATCCATGCGGGGTGTCTTGGAAAGTCAGGGCACAGAAACAGGGATCCAGGCGGCACAAAAACAGATCTAACAGGGGCACCCTAGGCAGGCTCAAAAATCAGGAGGCAGAAACAGGTAAAGATCAAGTAAACAGAGAAAAATGCTAGATGTTTAGTAACCAAGGCTTTAAGGCAATCTGGCACTGTCAACTAGTAAGAAGGCTGGCAAACAGGTGAAAGGAATCAGTGGTAATTTGGCTAAGAAGTAGCAGCACAGGAGGGCCAAATGAACAGTCAGAGCAGAAGGGAGAGGGGAATGAAACACTAGTTTAAAGGCCAAAAACATAACTCAGACGCGATCTTACGACAGCCATCTGAATTTCAAACATGTTTGATTTTCTCTTTGGTCATGAGAGGCTAATTGCGCCTCGTTACCCCCTGTATAATACAAGATCAGGCGGAAAGTCCAAAAATCGTACAGTATATGCCCGGCTTTAGATAGCATAAATTGTCATTTTGAACAGAAAAACACAGAAAGATCCAAAAAGTTTAGAAAGATCATGCTTTACATCAAAATAGAATTATAATAATGTACCGTTTGGGATCAGCGGTAAAAGATAAAAATGATTCATTTTTCCGATTCTGATCAATTCTTTTACTGAAAAGAAAGAACTGGGATAGTGGCTATTAGAAATAACAGTTGTTAAATGTAGCTAATGGCATGACATAATGCTAACATATTTTTAAAAAAAGTTTTAATTTTCACTTTTGCATTCAAGTTTATACTGTTTATAAGGTCTGAAAGGAACAAATAATTAAAGATGAATTTCCCTGTGTTGTTTTTTGGGCCAAACTGCTGTAATTCTTCACTAAACATAGTAAAATAAATGCTACTTTCTTTTCATTTGAATTATATTTTAACAGGAATTGAGTTAAGTAAAAACCAAAAAGCGACAATGCAATTAATGTTTTATTGAAGATTTATATCAAAACAGTTTAGATTACAGAGATAAATAAGTCTATACAGTTTTTACAAATTCTAACCATGTAAGTAAGAGTATAAGAAGCATATCATCAAAGCTATGTGTCACAGTAGTCTCTTGCTGATTATTTATTGGCTCCAGAGTTTGTATCAGAAGGTTGAGTATGTAAAGAGATGCTGTCAGTTAGACTAAAGAATTGGCTTTGATGGTTCTGCTTGGCTATCTATCCCACAAAGACAGACAGTGCCATTTATTTAATTAAAGTGTTCATCTGTCATTACCATCGGGTCATCGCTCCCTAGCAACAGATGTTACAGTAACTAATGAGTAGCTGGGTTCACTTTATGAGGTCAAAGTTGATGCCTTCAGCAACTTCATTCATTTAGCAACACCCTTTCTTAAAGCACAAAGGGTCATGCATAATCTGCTCCATGTTTCATTTTTAAATACTCAAGATGGTGATGTGTGTGTTAATGGAGGAAGTTCCTTGTTACTTTTATGTTGCCGCTTTTTTCAGGTCATGTCGCTCTGAATGACCTTGTGGCCCACGCTATTTTACTGTGTATGATCGAAGACATGACATAGGATGTATTAGTCATGTTGGTTTGTAGCTTTTTGAACCAAATGCAGAATCACACGGAGAAACGGTTAATTTTATTGTTTATTGATAGATGCAACAAGAATCTGGAAGCGGAGAACTGCAGGCAGTCGGTTGAACTTTCTGGTTGGTCTGAGGGGAGAAAACAGGCTGATCAGGAAGGAGTTGGTTGATGTCAACTGATGACTGATTGATTTGCTAACTTGAGGGATGAAGGGGAGGAATTATGGATCTATAGGGGTTTGATTCAGCATGTTTTGATTTAGTAGCCACACCCAGGCCTTGATATGCATTGATCCAGGTCTGAGAGATTTAGCTGGTTTTTGTTTTTGTTCAAAGATATTGTGCAAGGTTGTGAACCCAAATAAAAAGGCTTCAAGTGCCTAATATCTAATTTGGAATTTAACAAAAGTGGGTTAAAAAGAATAATCAAAAACCATTTAATCACTTTTTAAAATTTGAATCAAGTAAATCAAGTATTTTAATCAAGTGACATTTGGGGTAAAACAAAAGAGTTTCATTGACCCATCACTTGGCTTTATCCTTGCAGAGTTGGATGGGAGTGGGTGAGTATATGGTCAAAAGATGGAACCTATGGAGTATTGGCAAAAAGAAAAATAATTTGAATGAAATAATTCATATTCCATATAGAGGGATCAGCCTCAAAATAATGACCACTGATAGGTGAAGTGGTCGAAGTTTTCCTTGGAGCACCTTTTTTAGCTAGCGCGCTGATCCATGCATGAGAGTAGAAGTAACCACTCATTCATACATTCATTCAACAATAAAAGTAAAGTCCTGCAAAAATGGAGTTCTGGGCAAGCAGGCTTTCAGGGTCATAAAAACAATGAAAACCTGAGGTGAAACATATGCTTAATGTTAGTGCAAATGAAAATCGAAATAAAATCACAAGATTGCAATTTAGTCCTAATTCAGCCCTATTATATTTCAATTAAGGTTCAATTCAGGTAATTTATTTAGTGCCAGTTCACAACACAGTTGATTTCAAGGCACTTTCCAGAGGAAATTAAACCAGGTCATACAGATTAATCAAACGTCTTCATTCTAAGGAACCAAATTTCATCCAGTCTTTCAGTACATCCCCAACTCATTTATACCCACTCACCTTCAATCAAGGCATCTTCCACAGCTGCAAGTGGGACTTCAGTGGGAGAGACATTTGATAGTTAAGCTTTAGTGCTCGGGGGAAGTTTGGAATTGGGCCATGGACTTTGCAGGATTCCCTGCTCCGGGATGAGCACAAGGCAACAATAGACATCTGCTTGCATAATCTAGTTGACTCTTCAGCAATGCACTGAGCATGCATGCAGCAACAGTGGAGAAAGAAAACCTCCCTTTTAACAGGAAGAAACCTCCAGCAGAACCAGTCTCTGTGTGAGTGGCCATCTGCTGAGGCAAAATAGGGTTTTAAGGAGACAGAATCAATAAATATATATAATATAAAAGTTTTGTTTTCCCGTTTGGCCAAAAAGTAAATGAATTAACACTTAGTAAAAGTGCCTATGTTCTTTAAACAATTACTTTTGACTAGTTTTATTAAAGTTATTCCATTTTTATAAAAAAAAAAAAAATCTGTAGTGTGCCATCAAGGTCATCATTTATCAATTTGTTGATACAGTGAAATGTTACTGCCGAAGGAGAAAGAAATATGAAATAATATGTTTCAAAACAGCATTGTTGACTGTGTAAACAAGCATTTTATAATGCAAATGTGTTTAACAACAGCCATATACAATTTCTGTCTTTTTGATAATTGTCTTTGGTGATAAATTACACCTGCAGGGTAAGAAGCTAAGGGTTTTCATTTGTTTCTGCCTTAATTGTTAGCTTTAGTCTGGTTCCAGTAGCTGTGTAATTATCGTTAACATACCCTCAGATGCCTTTACAACTAGAAGGGAAAGAAATGGAGGGGAGGGCCCTGGTTTGGTCTGACATTTCACTCTTTATTAGCTTGCAAAATTATGAGTTGAATAATGTTTTCCTGCATTAGTTTGTACTACATTATAGAGTGGATCGACACTTATTACATGCACATAAATATTCATAAGAAAGGGACAGATCAGAACAACAAGGGTGAAAAAGGATGGGTCCCAAATGGTACAAAGGTCTAATCCTTCAAATGTGGAAAAAAGGACAAATGTATTATTATCAGCTGAAATTTGAAAAGCTTTCGATTTTGGACAGTCTTATTTCTTCCCAGTTGTATCATAATCCGCCTTTGAGGGAAATAGCCCTCGAGGGTTGCAGTCCCTGAAATTGGACACAGCAATTGTCATTTTTAGCTTTCCTAACTGCTAATTTAGCTACCGTTTTCCTTCCCTTTCCACACTCTTTGCTCTGTGTTTAAGAAGGGAAGTCATCTGAATCACTGCTCGCCTGTTGTGGAGGCACTAATCACATATTTAGGACTGACCATTTATAACAAAGTAAAAGTTTTTCAAAAGGTTTGTTATGAATAAAACAGTGTAGCCAGTCAACTAGATTGCCTTTTGTGCACAAACTCAGATTTTACTGTAACCCTTCAGTCAGATTAGGCCTGCTAGCTGTAAAAACACAGCTGTAGCCCTCGCTTTAACTGGAGGTGTGGGAGAGAGGCAGTAAAGACTTAAATAGGGTTTTTAGACAATGCATCAAAACTTTCCAAAAATAAGATGTAGCTGCCATTTCATTGTGTTTTATCTAATAAATTTTTGTATTTATTTATCTATTTTCCTCAGACAGCTTAGAATAAATGGTGACATGCCTCAAGTTTTGATGTCTACATGTTTTGGATGCAGTTTGATGCAGTTTGGATAACTGGGAGTGAAAAGTTACAACAGATTAACACTGAACGCTTTAGTGCATTTAGAGTATCAGCATACGAGATTCGGTACTCCTATATTAAAAGCGTGTAATTATCTTGCTGGTAAAACACAGCAAACAGTCCAACAAAAGAGGAGTAAAAAAACTAGCCAAAACCATTTCATCTCTGTGTGGTTCCACTGACTCAGAGACCCCACTGAAGATACACGCAAGGGGCTTTACGCACCAGTTCCAAGAAGTAAAACAATGAAGCACTTTGATACATTTAACAGATAAAAAAAAAGACCTACAGTATTCTTAGGTGTTTTTGTTATACTAGCTTCAAATGCACAATTTGAGCAATAGACCAACAAGAGGCTGACCGCATGAGAGACAAAGGTGGTTGTTTTATACATTTGCAGTAATGCCATTTGTTTCGAAACATGGCCACATGTTTCTTTTAGAAAGCTAGTTTATGTAACTAGAAAATAGCATGCACAGCCTATCTTACCAGCCTGCCAGCATTGTCCTAGACTGATGGTCCATCATTTGGTTGTTGTTTTTTTGACATTTGGAAGATGCCCTGCTCTGATTGGTCTGGAAAATATCTGTTTACCGTACATTTCTAATATGCATTTCATCAAAACAGGTGTTTGCTCTATGGATTGGGGTCATTTTTTGCCTCAGGTGGAGGATTTTAAAGGGAAACGGCATTTTTTTTTTTACATTGGTCTCTTGACGTTATTACATCATGTTCTACTCACCCATATGAGTTTTGTCATTTTGAGCTGTTCTGAAGATATTCCGTTTGTGCCTTCAAGTCGTTTGCCCATAGGAAGACATTACTTGGATATAACCTAACCGAATATCTTCAGAACAGCTCCAAATGACACAAAACTCATATGGGTGAGTAGAACATGACGTAATAATGTAAGATCAAGTACCCAATGTAAAAAAAACTGCATTTCCCTTTAAGTATGTTGGTGTATTTTCCACTGGTGATAGTAGGATGACTTTGTTTACTATGGTGAAAGGTGTTTTGGTCTGTCTTAAGAAAAGAGGAAAGCTTTCAATTTACTGGCCCATCTATGACTTTAAGCTCTGGCAATGAGATAAAACTCATAATAGAAAGAAGAAAGTCCCCCGACACAAGCAGTGAATTGAGTTCACTATAAGGTGGCTGGACTTAGTCTTAGAGAAACCAAGTAGAGCTCAATCAACTAAGAAGAGCTTAGAGTAGAACCACCTTGAGTTTTTACCAAAAGTCATTTCTGTAGGTGTTTTTTTTGATGATGTTATCAGAATGCCCTTTAGGGGTTTTCTCACATGTCCCACTAGAATAATCCCCTGGAGGGACTTGAAATCTCTTGTGGCATTAGAATGCCTTTAGATACCCAAAAATGGGAGGGAAGGTTTTGCTGAGGAGAAGAACGTTTGTATTTGAATGTATTGAAGTTATATGAGTTGTGTTTGGATTTGTAAAATATTGTTTATAATTTTCTGCAGGCATTAAGGTTATACAGGAGACATGAGCGGCACAATTCAGCAGATATCTCTGAATCCAGGCACCCCCTACTTCCTGAGAGTTGACTGGGCTGTGGATCTTGGTGCGGGCTTCACACTAGCTCTCACTGATGGAAGCTCGGCATGGATTGGAGAAGGTAAGGATTTCACATTTGAAAGCTGTATTCATAATATTTACAAATATAAAGTTAAAGGACTTAGTAGTAGAAAATATGGGCTTCCTTTGACTGGTGGGTTGTCACCAGGTGCACTATTCATTGAGCTGTCCGCAGCTTACATGCACCTGGCTGACCCCTGGTAATAATGTTATGACTGTTCTGATTCTTTAACTTGTGGGACAGCAGGGACCTTGTTTCATTATTCTTATTTACTCCTATTCACTGCAGCTTACAGGTGTGGAAACTATATTAAAATTTATAAGGCTCTTCTTTGTCGATGCAAACCACTCTCCATGTGAGTATGTGTGCATACAAGGATATGTGTGTTTTCACATCCATTTGGGTCGGTAGTTACATCTGCACAGGACAATGTGTTCTCTTTAGACACCTGGAACATAACTGTCGGTAGTTCCCTTGCTGTGCATCTGTAGAGCTGACAGGTAGAGATGGGATTGTAACAGTTATGTGTGGCCCCCTTGGTTGTCGGTGTTTCAGCGTTTGATGTGCTAATTGGGACCTTCCAACCAGTGTTAACAGCTGTGCAACAGCTGATGACATCGCCCCTGGTTTCTCTGCATGCTTTCTTTAAAACCCTGCTTTCACATGTACTCTTGTGTTACTGCTTAATTAATGTTTGTAGTTTTGTTCTGCGAGCTTCTGTCAACCCTGAGATGCATGCTTCAATTCCATGTGTTTATGAAATAATTGCAGCATGAAAGAAAATAACCTTTCATGAGAGATTATTTGTTTGATCGGGGACTGTTTTGTCAGTTTCAGAGGATGAGATGACAAGAGAAGCCAATGACTTGGGCGTCATAAGAGAGAAATATGTTGAGCATCTTCTCCAAGCTCTGACAAAAAGCGGAGAAAGAGAAGAAGGAAGAAAAGGAGATGGCAAAGTGGAGTATTCTTTTAACCTGAGCCCAGATCACAGCCTGCTCTCATATCAGAAGATCTGCAAAAACGTTTTGGTGAGAATGAACTTTTATATATTTGTTTGGAAAAAAAAAATAAAAATAACCTACCAGAATTCATGAAACAAGAGAACCAACAAAAAAGTATTATTTTTACTTGGCATGATGGATGACTTATAGAAATTGAGACATAAGATCAACAATTATGAATACTCTTAGAGCTTGATCTTCAAAGATTCCAAATAAGGAGCCCTCAATTGAACAAGCAAAAAAGTAAATAAAGCTGCATTGGCAATGGATAAAACATAAATGTTTGTGACTGAAGATAAATTTTAAGCCATGAAGCAGGAGGTAATGATGGTTATAATCAATATAACACAAAATACAAATCCTTTTAGAGTAGAAAAGCATAACTGTGTTTCATGCAAAGCCTGTAAGAAATGCATAGGAAGGAAATATAATCTGTCTTGGAGTTAAATGCATCACATCCGAAGCAGCTGGTGCATCCATAATGTCCCTTTAAAGGCTCCATGATGGTTTTACTATTCTCTTGTTTTTTTCTGGTGGCTGTTGAAGTCAAATTTATTTTTGTTCATGAATATGCAGCAATACTTCAGTTAAGTTGTGACAGTTTTCATTTTAGTTTAATTGCAGAAATGTTATTTGTTCATGTATTTTTCCCACCTTATATTATTCTACCATTCCTATGTCTGACCTTCCCATATTTCTGTAAACACAGACACTCTTTCCATCCTCTGTTTGTACAAATGCCCCTTTGTGACCGCAACAACAGCAGAAATCTTGCAACTTTGCACCTGCTTTTTCAAATATACTAAATAAAAATGATAACCGCATTTTACAATCACTTCTAATCTAGATTAATGCAACAGAATGGCTGAAAATAAATGCAATTGAATGAAAACCAAAACCACAGTGACTACAAAGCACAGTTATTTTGTATTATATATTTATGGGCCTACCTTTTTTGCAGTATTTTAGGTCAATTTGGTGTTTTAATGTTGGTTTGGTTTGATACAGTTTATTAATTCAATTCAATTCAGTTTATTTATATAGCGCCAATTCACAACACACGTCATCTCAAGGCACTTTACAGTTCACCAGATCATACAGTCATATTGATTCAAAGCTTTCTATATAAGGAAAACCAGTTGATTCCTCACAAGTGAGGGATTGCATGTTGCAAGGGGATCCCACACAGAGGAAAAACTCCCTTTTAACAGGAAGAAACCTCTAGCAGAACCAGACTCAGTGTGAGCAGCCATCTGCTGAGGCTGACTGGGGTTCAAGGAGACAGAAGCAGAGATACAATAAGCAACTGTAAAAGGCAGCCCAATCCAGGAAACACACAGCCAGGCAGACGAGCTCTGAGTCAACTCCCATGTCAGAGGATGAAGAGAGCACATACAGCCAGTCGCAGTCAGAGAAACAGGACTACACTGAAAAACAGACAGATCTCGAACATGTATAAACAAAGTTGTTGATGGCAGCAGCACAGCTGATATTTTTCTCCAGGATGGTGTCACAGCCAAACAGGATCAGATGAGGCAAAGCAACTGTGAGAAAAAGCAGAGAGAGCAGAACGTTAGAGATTGAACAGATTCTGCAGAATAGGAGAACAGAGAGAGAATGAAGCAGAATCATGAAATAGGGGTCCCTATGTCCTCCAGAAGTCTAAGCCTATAGCAGCATAGCTATAGAGATAGCTCAGGATAACCTGAGCCACTCTAACTATAAGCTTTATCAAAAAGGAAAGTTTTAAGCCTACCCTTAAAAATAGACAATTTTTAAAGGTTATTAGTTTTAGACTTATTATTAGAGCTTCATAATACTCCAAATCTGCTGCTTTTTGGACTAATGACAGGGGTGGGGGTAAAGCAGCAAAGTCAGCTTTTCAAAGTTTTATGAATAATTATAAACATTTTTTTTACATGACTTTCGTTATTCTAGTGTTGGTAAATGTTGCTTTTATTTGTATCACTTTCAGATACATATATATTAGTGTGTTGTACATATTCAAGCAAGTAACACTGCATGTCTTCAAACTTTGCCTTTCCTTTACAACCACTCTGTTCTCCCAAATTGCTAGAAGCTTAGGCAATTTTCTATTTTAAATAGGGCGTACTGGACATGTTCTGTGCCTGTTATCTATGGTGGGTGCAGTCTTTGTAAGTCACCTGCAAAATGGCCACCAATTTCATTTGCTTTGTGTTTTATTATTTTGCAGCAATTAAGTACTTCCTATCGACATTTTTTAAAGACTAGGACCTTAGTCTTCTCCTATAGCAATTAACATGGTGGATTTATGCCCAGAGAGATATGCTTAACCATTCCTGTCTGCGCAGTTTCTCTAGATCACCTGAAATACAAATTCCTTTGCTATGCTATTTTCCCTTTAAATTACTTTTAAAGTTCTGAACACAGAGCTAGCTGTGGAAGAAAGCTGATTTTGTATCTGTTGAAACATTCTATTTCGATTTGTCTATAGTATAAAATTTGGATGAAATCTATCTGGGAAAACTAACAAAACTTTTGGTAACCCCCCTCAAATATCTTTATCACAGACAAACTGATTGAACTGATCCAATATCACCCATGAAAGTTTCGTTTTAGCATTTCTATTTAACATTGACAATGAAATATTATTACAAAAAATGTCATATTTATACGGAGCCCCTCTGATGACATGGTCAAAAAAAAATTGTAATTGTGGCCACGAAATACTACTTCGTGGCCACGCAATAAGTTTAACGTGCGCATGAAATACTTATTAATAATATTAATATTATTCCTGGACAGCTGGGTAAGCAAATCGAGCGTGCCTTCTCTAAGGTCTAAGGTGCGCTCGATTTGCTTACCCAGTTGTCCAGGAATGATATTAATATTATTAATAAGTATTTCGTGCGCACGTTAAACTTATTGCGTGGCCACGAAGTAGTATTTCGTGCGCACGAAATACTACTTCGTGGCCACAATTAAACATTTTTTTTGACCATGTCATCAGAGGGGCTCCGTATATTTACACCCAGAAAAAAACAAAAACAAAATTTTATATATATATATATATATATATATATACTATGTATATACTTTATAGTATATATATATATATATATATATATATATATATATATATATATATATATATATATATATATATATATATATATATATATATATATATCAACGATTTTTGATTGAGGACAATGGAAAAAAAAAGAAAAGACTTACCCAGTTTTTTTTTTTTTTTTAGCCAATAAGAAAATATTAAAATCTGAAATCACAGATTATATTTCTTTTGTGGCCATTTAAAAAGCTTCTTATTAAAGTCCACATAAACAGAATTGCGCGACATAGTTTAAAAGCTGGCTGATTTATTGGAACCGGTTTGGACTGCCTGGGATCACAGCTGTAGGTGTATCTGTGGTTTTGAATGTCATAACATGATGTTCTTCTCTGTTATCACCACTACTCCTGGGGACAAATGCCTCTTACAACACACAAAAATAGAAAGGAAGCTTCTTTTTTTTCTTTTATTGTGGGGGCTGTTTAGAAGATAAGGTTTATAGCTTCCCCAATTAGAGTTATAAAAGTTTTGGTTCCCTCAGGCAACTATAAAAGAAAAATAACATAAACTGTACTTTACAAATACAGTCTGTGACTTCCACTGATAGAAACACAATGAGATAGAAGGCATTGGTAAAAAAAAAGAAAAAGAAAAAGCATTATTTTCAACAGTCACTGTTTAAATCTCAGCATGTTAAAAGACAGATATAAAACCGTTTCTCAAGGATCTGTGGAGATAATTTACTGAATCTGAAATACTTGATAAAGACCAGGTCAGAACTATCTGTTGATTTTCATGTCATTCTTCCAAAACCAGAGGTGCCTTTAGCTTTAGGGAGTAGGTCAGCAAGGGCCCCTAGGTGCTGCTTAAGAGGTCCTGATCACAGAAAGAGGGGCAGAAGGTTAGGAACACAGTACAGACCATAAAACCCTGATTTATTAACAGGGATGTCCTGTCTTACACATCGGCTGATTAGTGAGCCTTTTCTTCCTACAGCTTCCCTGACTGATATGTAGACATATCTTATTTTTAACAAGGCTGTATTAAAAAAAGACACAACAAAAAAAAAACTTTTAAAGAGCAGTTGAAGTAAAATGAACTGTCGAAGTAAAATGACTATTAAGTATACCAATTTTTTATTTTAAAATGCTGGCAAAATGGATAAGTAAAACATTTAATATAGTTTCATTTGTTTGCACTGTTTAAAAGTCTATAGTTATAACATACCTGATCATTGTTTTTTTTTCCAGTCTGAAAATATAACAGTCTTTTAAAGATGATGTGCTACAAAAGGAAACTAAGGTCACGACACACAACGAATACGGTAATCAAATAGTTTGACTGTTCTAGTGAGTCGTCACCTCACCTGATCATGTGGTAGAATCTGAATATGAAAGCATGCATCAATCCTGTCGTTGTACAATGGTTCCTGCTGGTGGTGTTTACTTAACACACTTTTTTGTCTCTTAGTACCATGTTGGCATAAAAAAAAATTGCTGCTGATCTTGTTCATTCTTTAACAACCACAGTGTACCCGTCTTCTGTTGTCTACTTTCAGTAAGCTCCTGCACAGTGTCACAAAGATAAAATTATCTTAAAATTAGGTCGTAAAGATAAAAAAAAGTTCACTGTGCACAAATGACGTCCACGGTCACCAGATCTTTGCAAAATAGAGAACTTTTGGTGTATTTATACTGGAGATTTGCAACCTGTATGAGCTGTTGATTCATTTGTAGTAACAGCACTGCAGAAGGATGTAACTAATGATTAAAATCTCTCAGGATTTTTTCTGACATCTTAAGCTGGGCATACACTGTGCGATATTTTCAATCATTGCACGCATCTACAGCTCACACTGTACGAGGAGACCGCAGGATTAAAAAGTTTACAGCTCACGATGCATGTTTTCACACTGTGCAACCTTACGTCGGCCAACTGAATTTCAAACATGTTTGATTTTCTTCCGACTATA